CTCTCTCCATATTTTTTCAATATTCTACTTGAAGTTCTAGCTAGAGAAATAAGAAAACAAAAGATCAAGGGGATACAAATTGGAAAGGAAGAGGTCAAGATTTTCACTATTTATAGATGATATAATTTACATAAGTGATCCAAAAAAACTCTACCGGTGAACTACTACAGCCGATAAACACCTTCAGCAAAGTAGCAGGATACAAGATTAACTAAAAAAAAAAAATTAGTAGCCCTACTATATATAGACGATAAAGGGGGCTGAGAAAGAAATCAGAGTAATATCACCTTTTACAATAGCCACGTAAAATATCTTGGGGTAATGCTAAACAAACAAGTGAAAGACCTCTATAATAAGAACTTTGAGTCTTTAAAGAAAGAAATTGAAGAAGATACCAGAAAATGAAAAGATCTCCCATGTTCTTAGATAAGTAGGATCAACACACACACACAAAACAAAAGGCAATCTTGTCAAAAGCAATCTACAGATTCAATGCAATCCCCATCAAAATCCCAGCACAATTATTCACTGACCTTGAAAGGATAATAATAAACTTTATATGGAAAAACAAAAGACTCAGGATAGCAAAAATAACCCTGTACAGTAAAGGAACTTCCAGAGGCATCACCATTCCTGACTTCAAGCTCTATTATAGAGCTATAGACCTGAAAACAGCTTGGTATTGGTGCAAAAATAGACAGGTAGACTAATGGAATCTACTTGAAAACCCTGATATTAACTTACACACCTACAAACAGCTGAGTTTTGACAAAGAAGATAAAATTATACAATGGAAAAAAGAAAGCATCTTCAACAAATGGTGTAGGCATAACTGGATGCTGACTTGTAGAAGACTGCAGATAGATCCATATTTATCACCATGCACAAAACTTAAGTCCAAATGGATCAAAGACCTCAATATAAATCCAGTCACACTGAACCTCTTAGAAGAGAAAGTGAGAGGTACCCTTGAAAGAATTGGTACAGGAGACTGCTTCCTGAACAAAACACCAGTAGTACATACACTGAGATCAACAATTAATAAATAGGACCTCCTAAAACTGAAAAGATTCTGTAAGGCAAAGGACACAGTCAACAAGACAAAACACAGCCCCCAGAACAGTAAAATATATCTGACAGAGGGCTGATTTCTAAAATACACAAAGAACTCAAGAAGCTAGTTACCAAAACACCAAATAATCCAATTAAAAAGTGGGGCATAGAACTAAATAGAGAATTCTCAATAGAGAAATCTAAAATGGCTGAAAGACACTTAAAAAGGTGTTCAACATCCTTAGCCTTCAGGGAAATGCAAATCAAAACAATTATAAGATACCATCTTATTCCTGTCAGAATGGCTAAAATCAAAAACACCAAAGATAGTTTATGCTGGAGAGGATATGGAGAAAGGGGAACACTCCTCCATTGCTGGTGGGAGTGCAAATTCATACAGCCACTTTAGAAATCAGTAAGGCCGTTCCTCAGGAAAATGGAAATTAGTCTACCACAAGATCCAGCAATTCCTCTCTTAGGTATATACCTAAAAGATGCACATTCATACAACAATGGCATCTGTTCGATTATGTTCATAGCAGCATTATTTGTAATAGCCAGAACCTAGAGGCAACCTAAATGCCTCTCAACTGAAGAATGGATGGAGAAAATGTGATACATTTACACAATGGGGTACTATTCAGTGGAAAAAATAAGGGAATATTGAAATTTGCAGGCAAATGGACAGAACTAGAAGAAATCATCCTGAGTGAGGTAACCCAGTCACAAAAAGACAAACATGGTATGTACTCAATCATACATGGATTTTAGACATTGAGCAAAGGATTACCAGCCTACTATCCACACCGCCAGAGAAGCTAGGATACAAGGACGACCCTTGAAAAGGGAAAAAGGACAAGATCTCCCAAGCAAATTGGGAGCATGTGGGGGGAGGAGAGTGGGAGTTAGGAGAAAGAGAAGGGGAGAAGAGGAGGGGAGAGGAGGGCATGAGGGAGCAGAAAGATTGAATCAGGGAAAGAATAGAGGTGAGCAAGAAGAGATACCATAATAGAGGGAGTCATTATAAGTTTAAAGAGAAATCTGACACTAGGGAAATGTTCAGAGACCTACAAGGATAACCCCAGCTAACAATTTAAGCAATAGTGGAGAGGCTCCCTTAAATGCCCTTCCCCAATAATGAGAATGATGACTATCTTATATGCCATCCTAGAGCCTTTATCTAGTAGCTGATGGAAGCAGAAACAGACACCCACAGCTAAACACTGAGCTGAACTCTTGGAATCCAGTTGTAGAGAGGGAGGAATGATGAGCAAAGGGGTCAAGACCAGGCTGGAGAAATCCATAGAAACTGCTGACCTGAACAAGGGGGAGCTCATGAACCCCAGCCTGATAGTTGGGAAATCAGCAAAGGACCAACCCAGACCCCACTGAACATGGGTGTTAGTTAGGAGGACTGGACAGTCTATGGGGCCTCTGGTAGTGGATCAGTATTTATCCCTAGTATACAAATGGACTTTGAGAGCCCATTCCACATAGAAGGATGCTCTCTCAGCCTAGACACAGGGGGAAGGACCTAGGCCTTGCTGCAAATGATATGACAAACTTTGAAGATATCCCATGGAAGGCTTCACCCTTCCTTGGGAGCAGAAAGGGGATGGGATGGAGATTGGTAGGGGGACAGGAGAGGAGGGGAGGGTGAGGGAGCTGGGATTGACATGTAAAACAAGCTTGTTTCAAATTTAAATAAAAATATTATCATAAAAATTGGGTCACGCCTTCTCATGGCAATCTGTATAAATGGTATGGAAGAAAGAGGCTTTTACTTTTACCTGTTTGGCCTTATTCTTCCTCTCAAGTTTATAGATCCTGCTGCTTGAGGCTTTTTTTTCCCACTGGCATTAGAGGCTGCTTCTTTGGGATTTCAACGTGTACTGAAAACTAGATGAGACATCTAGCCTTGTGGGCTAAACAACTATCGGAGTCCCAACTTTCTGTTGGGAGACAGCCATTGTTGGACTAGCTGGACTACAGCCTGTAAGCCACTCTATATGGATTAATAAATCCATATACATACATACATACAACCTATCAGTTTTGTTCCTCTAGAGAACCCTGACTAATACATATAGGAAGGGATCATGATAAAAAGGATAAATCTATTATTGGAATTTTAGAGCTAATGTCCTAACTCAGGGAGTCCCAAGGAATTGGGCTGGTCAGCCTATTCAAATACGTTAAAGAGGCAAGAGACAATGAAAAGCAGAGAAAGGAGATTTAATCTGTGTGGCACACTAGGAAGAGAAACAGACAGGAGCTTCTGGGGCAGGGAGTGAGGTATGCAGTTCTGGCTAGAGTGCTATCTGGCTGATGTTATCTCAGGTCTGGTTCTGCAAGGTGATTTAAAAAGATAAAATTTTTTTTTTTTTTTTTGAGGGGACTAGCTGGTTCCTAGGAGATGACTGATCCTGCTTGGGGGTGTTCTCATGATGGGGTGATCTGTCTGTGGGCTACTGCTGCTATCCAAGGGGCCTGAAGGTTTAGGATGATGACATTTGGGTGTCTGGTGCAGGACCCTGTAAAGCTTAATAGGAGGGTAATTCAGTTGCTCTTATCTTATTTTTGCCTCCAGCCATAAAGAGGGATGAGGTTGGTCAGACATCCTTGGCATTTAGACAGACATTCCTTGAGCTATTAACATGCTATGTGCAGTGTTAGCAGGTGACTGACCCGAAGTAAAGGAGACATGCAAAGTAAAATAGATGCCAGGCCTTCATCCATCCTACTTTGGTTATGCTGTAGGTCCAGAGGAAGAATCAATGTGTTTAAAAGTATTTTTATTTAGTGGTGGGTGGTAGTTCACAACTTTACTCCCAGCACTGGGAAGACAGAGGCAGGTAGGTTTCTGGGTGTTTGAGGCCAGCCTGGTCTACAGCTAGTTCCAGGACAGGCAGAGCTACATAACAGAGAGGCCCTGTCTCAAAACAAAACAAAACAAAACAAAACAAAACAAAACAAAACACAACAAAACAAAACCAACCTGGTTTTAAGTATAAAGTCACAGTTAATAAAGTGCCAACTTAAACACTTATTTTTAAAATTACCTAACATTCTCTGTGATGTATCATAAATTTTGTCAAATGTATAGATGCGTGTACCAGCTATGATCAGCATACATGATGATCATCTCAGCTCCTCAGTGTCCTTCATGTTATAGTTTGTATTCAATCCCTCCTCTAGCTCTAAGCCCTGGGAATCACTGATTTAATATCCATCTTGGGAACTCACCTCTCGAAAAGAATATCATTTTTGTGGGGTCATGAATCAATGACCAGATTTTGATGTGGAAATCATTTAACCTTAAATTTTAAAATGACAGAAGTCTTTTTGAACATTACACGAATGTCCGATCTTCTTGCTGCTGGTTGAAGGGAGGGTGTGGCAGCATCCATTCAGGCCTGTTTCCTTCAGTGTCCTCTCACTTCCACTAGGAGCCTAGAACCTGCTCCAGCCTCACTAACTCGCCCCAGGTGTCTCCTGCGTCACAAGGTCTGGATGGCACTGGTGAGCTCTGGTTCTGAGCAGTTGTCACTTCCACTATTGAGGTGGGGGTGGGGGAGGATGCTGCCGCCTCCAGGGGACGCTTCTGAGCTCAGAGTCCAGCACCCTATAGTTATCAGGCTGAGGCACCTTAGTGTAGCATGGTTCCAACAGTGGAGGCGGGAGGGGGTGATGGGGCTGTTTACTGTCCTTCAGAGAAGAGAGCAGGCCTCCTAGTGTCACTTTTATCAGCAGCAGGGGGTCCTGGTGCGCGCCCTTCCCCCGCGTGGCCTTTGCTCGTGCCCTTTCTTTGTTCACACATTCCAATGCCGCGTCATAGGCGACACACTCCACAGTGCGTGCCTTGCTGTCGACTCCTTCGGCAGCTAGAGAAGCGTCTTTGAACCGTTGACTCCATTTGAAGGCGTCGATTGTGCAGAGCTGTCTGGATGGGTGGTTACCTGGGCCGGGCTTGCCCTCACCGTCGGTCCCTGACTGTGCCCACTGGGGACCTCCAGAAGAGGCCCTCGCCTCCGGTCCATGGTGTCTCCCGGTCTCTCCGGGTTAATTCCATGGAAGGGTGCCTGAACATGGCTTTAGCCAATTCCCAGGAGCACCCTGGACGCGTAGTGGTTGTCCACACGCAGCGATATTCAGTGGAGAAGGCTCGGAACTTACTCGTCGGAGTCTTTTCTTCAATGTTCTTGATTGGCCAACACAACTCAGTGCCAACACTATCGGGTTCCAGGATGTCCCGAAGCTCAATGATCCTGAAGGTGGTCTCTACTAAGGGCAGAGCCACGCTCCGGTTTGTTCTGGGTCAGCCGGTCCTGATTATATGGTCTTTCCTCACTGGCTACTTCTCAACTCAATCTAGGAAGGAGACACAGATTAGTGCTCTCCAAGAGACCCGCAAAAGCAAAAGCAAAAGAATGCGAGCAAAGAAAAACGAAGATCCCACTACCTCGGGAAAAGGAGGAGAAGGATTTGCCAAGCAGGAGGAAGGCTCCGCAGTCATCAAGAGACCTTCTGATCAGGGAAAGGACTCTGATGGCGGTGTGAGTGTCCCATCTGCATTTAGACGTCTGATTGTCAATGGGGTACTCTCTTCTTTTGTACCCAGGCCGGGTCCTTTGGGTATGGATATCTGTTCCAAGAACTCAACAAAGAGCTGTAATAAAGAATCCCACATCACCTTCAAGAGCTCATACAAACGAAATGCCATTGCCAGCTCCTACAGTTCCTCTCTAGCACAGTGGCCCCCAGAGAGAATTCGTGAACGCACTACCAGAGGTGCTGGCCCTGGTGCTATACCAGGGGCTGCTCTAGGCACTGCTGCAGGCGCTAACCAAGGTGCCACCCTAGATGATGCTGCACATGCCACCCGAGGTGCTGCCCGAGATGCTGCTGCAGGTGCTACCCCAAGCGCGGCTTCTAATGCTTCCGCAGATGCTGCTTCAGAGGCCGCTACAGATGCTGCCCCAGGTGCTGTTCCAGATGCTGCTTCAGGGGCTGCAGGAGATGCTGCCTCAGGTGCTACCCCAGGCGCTGCTTCTGGTGCCACAGCAGAAGCTGCTTCAGGGACTGCCACAGATACTGCCTCAGGTGCTGCACCATGCGCTCTGCCACTCCCCAGTCCAGACTCACCCCAGTTGAAGGAGGCTGCAAATAAAGGTGATGAGAAAGACAGTGCATCTTCAGGCAATTCGAAAAAAAAGGAAAAGAAGACTAAGAAGGAAAAAAAGAAAGAAAGGAAAGAAAAGAAGGAAAAAATTAAGAAAGCCAAGCAAGCAGCTGCCATAGATGCTCCTCAAGTCAAGCAAGGCAACAGAAGGAAGGGCCTCCCCAAGTCTGATATTCCAAAGCCTGTGAGACGCAAGATTCCTCTGTTGTTGCCCCAAAGAGGAGATGTCCCATTGATTCCGCCACCACCCTCAGGACTGTATTTTCGAATCACTGCAGAAGAGTTTGACTTAGAAAAGAAAACAGCCATGCAGTGGATCAACAAGGTCTTGAAGGGTAAGTGGGAGGCTGCACAGTCAGCAATACCACACAGCTTTCCTGTCTTAAGCTGTGTTCGCTACAGGGACTTTCTCCAGCACCTTTCCTTCCAGACCTATCACACATTCACGGCAGAGAGAGCACTAGTAAGATGCAGAGTCCTAGGCTTGGTATTCTCGTACTGTATTAACTGCCGCTTGTGAATCATTTTTCTTGGTTCTTTCTAAACCCCATTTACTTTGATTATAAAGAAATGCATAGATTTTTCTGGCCCACAGAGGATCTGTCTCCAAAGTACCTGGCTGCTTGGCCTTTGCTAGTAGTAGTTTAGTCTAGTTTTTTTGCTCTTGAGGCAGCCCAGGAAACTCACCTAGCCTGTGAGAACTGTGGTGGACCCAGTTAGACTGCTAACTGCCCAGAGACACAGTGTTATAGTCTCACCCACTTAGTGCTAGAAGTGAAATCTGGATGATTGGAGGATGTTGTTCTAACCTAGGGATCTTGGAACATAAAAGGGGCACTTTGGGTTTGTTTTCCTCTAGATGAGAAAAATCAGGGTAGCTACTGATGATGGAGTTGCCTGTTTTGCCCCTCCCCCTTGCTTATTTGGGCAAAATACACACACACACACACACACACACACACACACACACACACACACAATGCTTGATGTGAAAAATAAATTCTTTCTCCACAAAGCCAACATACACAAACCAAGATGGTATAGAGCAGTGGTTCTCAACCTTCCAAATGCTGCAACCCTTTAATAGAGCTCCTCATGTTGTGGTGACTCCCCAACCATAAAATTATTTTCATTGCAACGTCATACTGTAATTTTGTTACTGTTATGAATTATAATGTAAACATTTGGTATTTCCAATGGTCTTAGGCCACCCCTGTGAAAGGTTGTTTGACCCCCAAAGGGTTCATGATCCATAGGTTGAGAACCACTGGTCTAGATTAATCACTTTGTATGGCCTCTACAGTATCAAACACTTGGTAGTTATTAACCCTTCTTAATTTTTTATAACATACTTACTCTTATTTGTGTCTTTTACAGATGATGGAGCCAAGGCCCGTCGTAATTAAGTGACCCGAGGATGGCCACATGTCACTGGATACATAACACTGATTTTTAAGCTTGAGCAACCAGTTTTTGCACTCTGTCCATGTAGTATAATATCACATTCTATTTAGAGCCATTTTGATACTTAAATAAGATTGTTACCCAAAATGTTTGTTGTAGCATCTGATTTATACTTGAGTGTGATACTTAGTATGATTATGTGTCCCCTATGTTAGTCACAGCTATGACCTACACATCCCCTTGGAAGCAAGTCTTTCCGACTTTCCTTGCCCATCCTGAGGATGGTCATTTGTTGCTGAGTGTTCTGACTCAGGATGTTCTCTGACCCTTCATGCCCCAGGACACTGCAGTGGTACCAATCTCTACATAGAGCCTTGAGGAAGGCTATTCTTCTTCTTGGAACCACTCTGTCCTTTTTTTTTCCTTCTGTCACTGTGATAAAACACTGACAAAAGAAGCAACATCAGGGAGAAAGGGTCTATTTGGCATACAGTTCCAAGTCATGGCCCATCATTGAAGGAAAGTCAGGCACTTGAAGCAGCTGGTCAGTTTCCTAGTCAAGGGCAGGGAGAATAAATGCTTTTTGCTGTGTTCAATTCCATCCTTTTACCCAAACAGTTCAAGACCCTAACTCAGGGCATGAGATCAATGTAATGAATGAGTCCTCCCATCTTAATCAAGCCAATCAAGACAATTCCCCACAGATATGCCTCCAGACCAACCAGGTCTAGATGGATTGGGATGATTCTAGATTGTGTCAAGTTGACAATTAAGACTAAACATTATATATTCTGTCTCTAGCCCCTAAAGCAACTATCTATGTGTTCAGAGCAAGCTGGACCTCCTTTGAGGGACACCATGAGCTCTCATCTCTGATTCCTAGGTACTCAGGTCAGCAATGTGAAACATACAAATCCATTATTCCCCAGTGTATTTCATTTTTCCCTAGTGCTCTCATATGTTTTGCCTTTTATATTTCTATGATTTTAAATGTGAAGTGTTTATATGGTTAACAAGTAGATTCTTGATTTTATGTCTTGGTTTAGAATTCAATGTAAATAACAAAGGGACTTCCCAAAGATTAGAAAGTTTATCCAGGGATACACATTGCAGTAGTACTGTGTGTACCATGGCAAGCTATGCATATATTCAAGGAGGTGGAGACAAAGGGGAGACAAGAGGATTGTACAATTTATTTTGAAACAATAAGTTTTGGCTGCAAGTATCAATAACAATAGTTATTGTTGTTCAGCGGGGACCATATATTCTTTCAGAATTATTTTCTGTGTAAAGTTACTTGGCCCCACACAACAAGGTTATGGTCTGGCAGGCTTTGAAATTGAACATTTTTATTAGGCACATGTTCATGAGATCCCTTCCTTCATAACTTAAATTTATTTCTTTGAGTATAACACAAATAACTCCATTTTGATCCAGAGAACTTTCACATAGTCTACCCACATAAGCAAAATCATGGCTATTACCGGCAATATGTTACAATATAGCAGGTGTGTAAAGGATAGCTAAGTTCCTTAATAATCTGACCTCGAGGTGGCACATAGCTCTAGATTGTTTAAATGGGCTCAATGAAGTGTGAAGCATACTACTTAATAAAAGAGGGAATGAACAGTGTTACTGTCAGAGACTTGCAATGATGGAAGCAATACCTGACTGGCTGTGAAGATGTAAAGGGCCAGGAGCCAACTACCAGAGTCTTCAGAAGCTGTAGAAAGCATCCAAACAGAAGCTCATCCCTTCTGACTCTTGGTTTTTAGATGGTCAGGTAATGAAGCTCCATTTGTCAGTAACCTCACCTTCACTTACTGAAATAAACATTATGTGCTGGCCAGTCATGTGTCAACTTGACACAAACTAGTCAACTGAAAGAAGAGAACCTCAATTGAGAAAATATCTCTATACAATCCAGCTATAAGACATTTTCTTAACTAGGGATTGGTGGGGAGGGCCCATCCATGGTACCATCCCTGGGCTGGTGGTCCTGGGTTCTATAAGAAACAAGCTGAGCAACCATGGGGAGCAAGCCTGTAAGCAGCACCATCCATGACCTCCGCATCAGCTCCTGCCTCTGGGTTCTTGCCCTGTTTGAGTTTCTATCCTGGCTTCCTTCAATGATAGACTACAGTGTGGAAGTGTAAGCTCTCCAACTTTTTGGCCACAGTGTTTCATCACAGTAATAGAGACCCTGACTAAGACACAGCATATACTTGAATATTACCCCTGACTCTATTCTGTGTCACCTCCAGTGCATGTCTTTTCCATGATTGGTGTCATTTATTGTAGTGGCTTTTTAGTGCTCTTCTAATAGCCAGTAACTAAAGTTGTTGGTTTTCTTAAAACAAAACAAAACAAAACAAACAAAAAACAAAAAACAAAACAAAACAACAACAACAAAACAGTGTCCTCAAATGCCTGTCACATTGTCACATGGCTTCACACATAAATGTGAAGGTGGCTCATTCCATCATCACAACAGCTCTAGTGGGAGCTAACTGGGGTTTTGCTGTGTTTGGGAAAGAAGTTGGATGGGTGCAGGGCCATGATGCAAGGCAGCCACAAGGCAACAAGAGGTAACATTCGAGTACTGTGTCTCCAGGGACATTAAGCAAGGGACACTTCCCCACAGTCAGCATTTTGTTTCAAACATCATTTGAACAGCTGATATAAAGATTGTCTGTACTCCAAAAATCTTGTGGTGGGTCAAAGATGGTGGGCTGTTAGGTAGACTTGAGGGGATTTTCATCTTTTGCCTACTCTACTGAAGTCTTTGTTTCCTATTTCTTATTTTCCTATAGGCATAGGAAGGTACACTTTACTTCCAGAAAACATATAGTAGGCTGCGTTGGGTGATGCAATCCTATAATCCCAGCACCCAGGGGTTCAAGCAAGGGGTACCAGGAGTTCAAGGCCATTTTCTCCTACATAGCAAGTTCACAGCCTGCCTGGGCTACATGAGACTCTCCACTGAGCCCTCTCCCAAACCCCAAGAACCAACCAAACAAACCAAAATAAAACCCAAACCATACCAGAATGTAGTTACATTAACCCACTTCCTGTTTTTATTAAAAAATAACCCAGGCTGGGTAATTGACAGAGGAAAGCAGTTATTAACTCAGTTTCGCATCTGAACAGCATGACACCAGCTCTCCGAGGATTTACTGGCTCTGTCACTGCATCATGGATGGCAACATGATGGAGAATGAGAGTAAAAAGAGCCCATTATGATGCCAGGAAACCAGAGAGAGGAGGGAGTCCACCCTTGCTCTTTCATAACCACTCTGGAGAGAAACAACCCCATTCACTCAAAGGGCACCTTCCCGTGTTTGTACAGCCTCCCACTACATGCTGCCTCCCAAAGGCCTCACCGCCACAGCATTACCACACTATGCACCAAAGGCATATTTGCAAACACAAATCAACCAAACCACAGTAATGGTGAACACAGATGGATGAGCTTTCCATACAACTGCAGGGAGTCTTACTGTGTAGACCTGGCTGTCCTGGAACTTGTTATGTAGACCAGGCAAGACTTTTATTATTTTTTATTACACGATTTTTAATTTTAAATACATTTTCATCATCCAGAGGCTTTTACCCTCCCAACCCATCCAACTTGTTCTTTCAAAAAACAAAAATAACAATACGATGACCCTCCTAACCAAGAAAACAAAATAACTACTCCAAAAAGAAAACAAAATATCCCCCTAAACGTCAGACTAATCAAATATAAGCACACACAAGAAACTATGGAGTTCATTATATGTTAGTCAGCTACTCCTTAACACGAGGCCTGTCCTGGAGTGGGTGATATACC